TCCCGAGGGGGGTCGGCTCTTTTTCGAAAAGCCGATTGCGTGGCGGGGATTGGCTGGTCCAGGCGTGACGCCGGTAACAACAAAGGTGGAGTTGGAAGAAATTAGATTAAAGGAAAGGAGAAAAAAAAAAATTAAAGGGGGAGCTGGCAGGGGACAGGAGGCAGAGACCGAGGAGAGGATGCGCGAAGCGCGGTCTCCTGGTTCCGATCCCCAGTTCCCTACAGCTCCTCGCAAATCCACTGGAATTTTACTCTGCACCTCCAACCCGGCCCAACCGCCGAAGCCTGGGTAGGAGAGATGACTGCTGCTACAAAGACGTCCCCAACTTCGACCCTGACACCCCTCACTACGACTGAGGGGGAGAACTTTTTTGCTTGGACTACTCGGTTCCTAAACCCGGCGAGGGCCCAGGGAACTGAAAACGAGAGCTCGTTCTAAAACCCGGAAGGCCCTCGCAAGGCACAGAGATCGGACGAGGCGGGGTGCTCCCCCGTTTTCCCGATGTGTTGCAAATCTAGGAGCTTCTTTCCAGTTTTTTTTTTTTTTTAACACTCTCCTTTCTCTCCCCCTCCCCGCGCTCTGGCTTTAGGGTTGCAAAAGCAAAGAGCAATAAAAAAAAAAAAGAAAGAAAGAAAGAAAGAAAGAAAGAAAGAAAGAAAAACCCGCGCACACACTCAGACACACACCAGAGGCGACAGGGGAGAGTTGGAAAGACGCAGGAGAGAAGCAGGAGGTAGGAGGCAGCGGGGACGAAGCAATGGGAGCGGGAAGCAGGCAGGTTCCCCCGCAATTCCCCCTCCGGCCTCACACCGCCTCGCTGGCCCGGCAGGGGAGCGCGGAGCCGGGTGAGCAGATGGAGAAGCGGAGCTCGCTCTAGGCAGCGGGCTTGGCCGGAGAATGGAGGAGCCGCCAAGCGATCGGCTGATTGGAAGAGAAACGCAGAGCGATGGAGGCGGGGGTAGGAGGACGATTTCTCTGCGGGGACTGGCGGCGGCGTACACGCCCGGGTCGGGCGCTGCAGAGCTTGGCTAGCTTTCAACCCGCGCTCGCCGGCTCCAGCCCCGCGCGCCCCCACCCTCAGCCCTTCAGCCCCCCCCGCGGCTCCGCAGGTGAGTGCGAGCTGGGGGCAAAAAACCCGAAAGTCTCAACACGTCCGCCCTGCAAAAAAAAAAAAAAGAAAAGAGAAAAGCATTTTTTTCTTCTTTTTTATTTTCGTGCAGCCCCCAGAACGGTGGGAGGGAAGGGGTGAGGCTGAGCCGCCTGGAGGAGGCGGAGGGGCCAGGCGAGGCCGGGGTGGCCCGGGAGGCGGCGGCGCCGAGGCGGCTCTGACGGGCGAGCGCTTGGAGCGGCGCTGCGCTGCGCCGAGGCCCGCCGCGCCCTCAAGAGTCCCCGGCTTGCGCTCCTATCCACGCGCTCGGTAAGTGAGCCTCCGCGCCGCGGATTTCGGGGGAGAGGGGTTGCTGGGAGAGGCAG